CGGCCATCGCAGAGCAGGTTGTGAATGAGCTTGCCTGCGGCGAGGGCGGTCGAGTGCACGGAGCTAAGTGCCTCGCCTCGCAGGAGTCGCTTAGGCGGCTCCCGTGGTGTACCTGTGTTAGTGCCAGTGCGCGCCAGTCCCGTGCCCAGTGTCGTGCGAGGGAGTTTGGTTGTAAAACGTTTGCCTGTGATAGTGCTAGCACGCGCCAGTCCGCACCTGTGTCGAGCCTGTCTGCTGTGTGAGAGAGTTGTGTTCGTGAAATTCTTTTAGCTGTAGCGTTGCGGCATAAATTCTTTTCTCGCACAACAATGGGCACGAGTGGTTCTAAAATTCTTTTCTCGCGTGCACGGAGATTTTTTGTAAAATTCTCGCGTGTGGCAGCCCATCGTCAATGGCCTGGCGAGTACAGACCACGCCTCACTTTTTCACAGGGGGGGATCCGTTTTCGCTGCGCATGCTCGAGCCCCGGCGAGGACTTGTGCTGTGAATAGCAGGCGTGGCTGTCAATGGCTCTCCTGGCATTTGGACTGGCCTGCGTCGCCCACCTCGCGCCGCACCGCTCTGCCCGGCCCTCAGTAGCAGTGGGGCATGGTAGTCGCTGCTCTGCCGCCGCGACGGCTGCTGGCGCGCCCGACGGCGGCGGAGGCTTCCGGGCCCTGCTCCCGTCGCTCCCAGCTGCCGCCGCCGAGTCGCTCTCGGCGCGCGGGATCGACACGCCGACGCCCATCCAGGCGGCGGCTCTCGCCCGCATCGACGCGGGCGAGTCGCTGCTGCTGCACGCCGAGACCGGCTCGGGGAAATCGCTCGCGTTTCTGCTGCCGGCGCTGCGCCACATCTCGCCGCGCTCGAAGCTGCTGCTCATCGCGCCGACGCGCGAGCTCGCGGTCCAGCTGGCCGCCGAGGCGTCTCCGCTGCTCCCCGCCGGCGAGACGGTCGCCATCCTCTCGGTTGGCTCTGCGCCCGCGCCGCGCGAGGTGATGGCCGCGTCGGTGCTGGCGTGCACCTCAGAGGCGATGGCCGAACAGGCGCCGGGAGCAGAGACGCGGCAACGTCGCGCGCACCCGGCGTACCCCTCGCCGTCCCCACGCGCCTTCCCCCCGCCCTCGCCCCCCTCCGCAGCTCGCCGCGTCCGGCGCCGTCGCCTCGTCCCTCGATCAAGCGCTCTGCGACCTCCGCCTGGTCGTGCTCGACGAGATCGACTGCCTCCTCCCTGTTGAGACGTTCCGCGGGCCTCGCGCCGAGCGGCAGCGCCGCGCCGCGAACCGCGACGCCGCGCCCCCGCCCGCCGAGGCGCTGCTCCGCCGAGCCATTGAGCTCTGCGGCTCGAGGGAGCTGCAGGCCTACATCCCCTGCTCCGCCCGAGATTCCGCCGAGATTCCGCCGAGAGGCTGCCGAGAGGCTGCCGAGAGGCTGCCGAGATACTGCCGAGATGTCACCTCGTGCGGCGAGCTGCTCTCGCGGGCGGCCGATGCGACTCGTGCGCCGCCCGCGACGCGCCCGCGACACGCCCGCGACGCGCCCGCGACGCGCCCGCGACGCGCCCGCGACACGCCCGCGACACGTCCCACACCCCCGCGACACGCCCGCGACGCGTCCTTGCAGGTCGTCGCTGCGTCCGCCACTCTCTCGCGCGCGTCGCGCAACAAGCTTGGCCGGGTGCTGCGCGCAGACCCGCTCGGGCGGTGGTACGGCAACCCGCCCGCCGTGGTGCGGCCCGCCCAGCTCTCCTCCTCCGACCTCTCCGCCGTGCCGCGCGCCGTGCCCCCCCCCGCCTCGATCCGGCACAGCTACGTCCGGCTGCCGCTCCGCACCGCCCGCTTCGCCCACGTGGGCACTGTCGCCCACGAGCGGGCCGCCGCCGGTAAGGCGGGCCGCGCCGCCGCGCCGCTGGCCGCCCGCGGGCGCCGCGGAGAGGGGCGCGGCACCCTCAAGGAGAAGCGGAAGGCCAAGCTGGCACGCGCGGCGGCAGAGGCGGCCGCGCTGCGCGAGGCGCGCACGCACCCTCTGCTCAGGGCGCTGCAGTGCGCGCTGCGCGAGCAGCGGCCGGCGTCGGCGCTCGTGTTTTTGTGCCGCTCCTCCGGCCTCACGGTGCCCCCTCGGCTGCGGCGGCCCAACCCACGGTCTTGCCCTCTCTGGACGCACGCCTCGCGCTGCGGCGTGTCAATAGGTGCGGCGAGCCTCGAAGCAGCTCAAGGAGCTCGGGTTGCCGGCGGTGGCGCTCCACGAGGCAATCGGGCTGGAGCACGACCGCAGCCCATCCGCATCGCCGCCCGCCGCCGCCGCGCTCGGTGGAGGCGGCGGCGGCGGCGGCAACGAGTGGTGGCTCAGGGCGGAGGGAAACGGAGTCGTGCTGCGCGGCGACGGGGCTGTGGCCGAGGCGGGGGTCGAGGCGGGGGTCGAGGAGGGGGCGGAGTACGCGGGGGAGGAGTACGCGGGGGAGTACGACGGCGACGACGACGACGAGCAGGAGGAGCACGGCGTCGGCGGGCGAGGAGACTCATCGAGCGACCGCTTGCGGCAGCGGCAACGGGAGCTCGCGGCCTCATTCCGCGCTTCGGCCGGGCTCCATGCCGTCGACGAGCCGGCGGCGGATGCGGGCCAGCCGGCGGAGGCGCCTCTGGTGGTCACATTCGAGGACATGGCGCGCGGCCTCCACTTCGACGGCGTCGAGACCGTCTACATCCTCGGCTTGCCGGACTCGCCCGCCACGTACCTGCACCTCGCGGGGCGCACCGGCAGGCAGCCTGTCTTGAGCGGCACCGTCGTGACTCTCTGCCCGGGTAACTCGCACCAGCAGCTCACGTCGTGGGCCCAGCGCCTCGGCGGCGTCGAGTTCGAGCGCATCGAGCTCGACGGGTTGGAGGAGGCGCTTAGTGCATCCGCCTGACGTACGACTGTCTGGAGAGAGAGCGGAGACCACAAAGCCGTAGTAAAGGGTCCATAAAAGGGTGAAGAGGATAGAGCGCAGCGAGAGCTGAGAGGTTGACGGAGGGGGTGCGTCAGAATTGAATAATTAAATAAAAACGGACACCTCTACTGTGGGATGGGGGTACGTTAAAAAAGCGGAACAGGTCAGAATGCAAGGCCGTGCAAGATAGAGCGTAGTACCGTCCGCTGCGCGGCGTCCGGGCGTGCAGCGTGGCAGACGTCTGCCCGATAGCCCCACGCCGCACACGCACAGGCGAAATCACAATCTCTCGAGGCGCTTGGGGAGATTGCTCGGTGACTCGCCTCGACGATCGTCCTGAATCAGACCGTCCGCCATAGGGCCAGCCTCCTCCAAGCAAGACACCGGCACCGGTTCCACGACCAGCACGGTCTCGGGCGTCGCCTCAACGATGGGCAGCATGTTGCTTGCACGGCCGGCGCTGGGGTGTGCGCGCTTTCGGCGAGAATAAGGAGCGGAATCTCGAGGCGTGGAATCTCCTACCGAGCTTGATTCCGAAAGGATCGTCTCCGACAGCGACCGTTTGGATGCTTGCTTTGACGCCTGACATCGACAGTGCTCGCCGTGAGGCTGTGTGATGCGTATCTGATGTCGCATTGGAGGGTGGGCAACCTTGGGCGAACGTGGCGTGAGGCGGCGCGCTGTCTGCGACATTGACGGTAGCATCTCTTGCAGAGGTTTGACAAATTCCTCAAAGTCTGCGGCACCAAACGGGGGGCGCGTAACGGTGGCGGCGTGGGGCTCCAGATGGGCGCGATGCGAGGCGGGCTCGCCACTCACCGAGAATGCGGAGAGCCTTGACCAAGTCCTCCCCATTCATCGTGCGTCGCTGCTCTTGGCGGCAGATGTCGTTGACCTCGCTGTGGGGTGGTGGGGTGAGTGGGTGGGTGGGTGGGTGGGTGGGGGGGGGTGTTAAGGACGCTCTCGAGCATGTGCGAGAGCGGGAGCGCTCGACCTGGTCAGAAAGCAGACAAATTCACTCAATGCCTCGCCAACATCTCCGCCTCTCGACACCTTCGCCTCTGTCGCCGGCGCCGCCGGCGCCTCCTGCGCCATCTACCAGAGCAATGAGAAGCGCTGTGCCAAAACCATCCGCTACCCTAGGGCTCGCCGTTAGTATAAAGTTGACGCGGGCCGGGTAACAAGATAGGCAGCCTTACAATGGCGACCCCGAGCGCCTCGTCTGCCCCATGGGCATGGTGATTGTGTGCCGTATGACGCTTGCTCGCGCCGGAGCTCTTCCTTGCCGGCCGGACGAGCTCTCGCTGCGGTCCGAATGCGCTTTTTCGGCGGGGGTTACAGCATCGGCGGGGGTTACAGCTCTTAGGCAAACGCAAGAACGGCATGCCTTTCGTGTGAGAAAGGGGCAGCCATTGTTCAAACATATTGTTGAAACGCTCCCATACTTCTACATTACCGGCGGTCACGGACACAGTCACCTTGCCTCGGACAGCGCGGCTCTACTTGCTATCGGGACGAGCAGAGGGCACACAGCACATGCTACATGTACATGTGCATGCACATGTTGTGATGATGCGGCGCCGATGGGGGCAGATACCAGGACGAGGACGACCGGTGAGCGGCATGTGTGCAAGTCATGCGAACGCCGCGTTGCCCAGCCCCACGAGGGGCGCTCTTTCAGGAGACAGGCCCCAGCGTAGCCTGGCGCGGGTGCAGCCAGGGTCCTACTCTTGTGCACAAGTATTACTATGGCATATGCTAGTAGATATTCAGCAAATAAGACAGCAATTGCAGCAAATTTGACAAATCTTATGGTTTTCGAGTGACAGTATGGATTCCGGGTGACACAGGTTGACAGCGCCGGTGCCTCTCTCTTGGACCGGCAAACGTGGTGGTCTCGTGTCACCGATGTGGGACCAGTGCGACAGGCTCTCGCAGGCACACACTCAGGCGGGCGAAAAGAAAAAATCCGGCCAAAAAGAAATCGGACTTGGATCTTGCCAGCCGGCGAAGCACAGCATCGCGCAGCAGTAGTAGAAGATCCATGCATCGTAAACTCCTTTTAAACAACCTTTTTTCCGAACGGCCTACTACGTCGTGGTCCGGGTGGGCGCGAGCGAGGCCATGGTGCTTGGTGGGCTCCGCCTCCGGAAGGGGAAGGGGGCGGGGTGACGGATGAGAAAGTGCATGTACAGAGAGGCTAGCATGCAGGTGAAACAGAAGTACAGAACCACTCACCGCAGCTGCCCTACTCCGTCTCGCGAGCGATGGCGAAGCCCAAGACGCAGTGGCCAAAGTCGAGCGCCGCGATGCCGTTCGTGGTTCCTGCCGAGTCGAGGTGGTACCGCTCGTGGATCTCGTAGAGCGAGAGAACGAGGAGCGCCGCCCGCGCGCGGGCCGCCGCGGGGAAGAGCGAGTGGCTTGCCGGCGACCACGGCGCCGCCGCCCGCCGGACCAGCGCCGCCGCCTCGCCCTCGCCGCCCGCGGCGCGCCGCAACGGCGTCGGCTCGCCCTCGTGCAAGCTTGCGCCGCTGCGGAGGAGGGAGTTGGTGCGGGCGGCGGTGAGGGTCTCAAGGTGCGCGAGCGGCGTCCAGCCGCGGCTGGCGACCAGCCAGGCAGCGAGGTCGGCGTGGCCTGGCACGCCACATACAGCGGCGTGGCGCCATCCTGCCTGGCTTGGTTGATCGCCGCGCGGGCCTCGAGAAGCAGCCGGACGCACTCGAGGTGGCCGTTTAGGCTCGCGATGAACAGCGGCGTGGCGCCGTCCTCGTCCGCTTCGTTGTCCGCCGCGCCAGCCTCGAGAAGCAGCTGCACGCACTCAAGCTGGCCTCTCTCGCACGCGATGTACAGCGGCGTGGCGCCGTCCTCCTTGGCTTGGTTGACCGCCCCGCCAGCCTCGAGGAGCAGCCGGGCGACCTCGAGGTGGCCGTTCTGGCACGCCATGAACAGCGGCGTGGCGCCGCTCTGCTTGGCTTGGCCGACCGCCGCGCCGGCCTCGAGAAGCAGCCGAACGCACTCGAGCTGGCCCTCCTGGCACGCCAACGAGCAGCGGCGTGACGCCGCTCTCCTCGGCCTGGTTGATGTCAGCGCCAGTGTCGCGCAGCAGCCGCGCGATCTCGAAGTGGCCCATGTAGCACGCGACGTATAGCGGCGTGAGGCCTTCAGCGTCTGCATGAGCCACCGCCGCGCCAGCCTCGAGGAGCAGCCGGGCGATCTCGAGGTGGCCCTTCTGGCACGCGACAAGCAGCGGCGTGGCGCCGTTCCGATGGGCTTGGTCGGTCGCCGCGCCAGCCTCGACGAGCAGCCGCACGCACTCAATCTGCCCCTCCTGGCACGCGATATACAGCGCGGAAGCGCCGCCGCCAGTCGTCGCCCCGACGCTCGCGCCGCCCTCGAGCAGCAGCCGCACCGCCTCGGCCTGCCCGTGACGAGCGGCCCAGGTCAGCAGCGTGTCCTGCTTCTCGGTGTCGTGCCGCGCGTCGAGCTGGGCCGCGAGCGACGTGCCGCGCGTCCCCTGCCCGGAGAGGAAGCCGCGCAGCGAGGCCAGGTCGCCACGAGCCAGGTCGGCGAGGCAGCGGGTTGGGAGGAGGGCGCCGCTCATGCCGCCAGAAAGAAGAAAACCGCGGTCCGCAAACTTCTTTTCAATTTTTTTTCGTCCTTTTCAAACCTCACTCACATCTCAGTCAGGGCCCAAGCCCATTAAGGCTCGCGGCCTCGAGCATCGACCTCAGCCGCGTCGATCACGCGCTTCCGCTCCTCGTCGGCCGCCTTCAGGCGATTGCGCTTGAGAGGGAGGTGACGACGGACGGGGAGTGCTTCGGTGGGCGTCGTCCTCCCCCGCCTCTCGCCGCAGGCCGCGCGTCCCACGTCGCGCGCCCAAGGCGCCGGCGCGCGAAGCCGCGACGCGGCGGCGGGCTCGGAGGCGGCGGCGAGGGTGGCGGCGGCGAGGGCGGCGGCGGGCTGGGCGGCGGCGGCCACGGCGGCGGCGGCGGGCTCGCAAGCCGGAGGCGGCGGCGATGGAGGAGGAAGCGGGACGGCGGTGGTGGCGGTGGGGATGGCGGCGGAGGTGTGCGATGGTGCCGCTGGCACTGGCGGAGGCCGCGCACGCGCGCGCTATCCGGGACATGAGCTCCACTCCGCTGGAGCGGCAGCGTGGCGTGGCGGCAAGGCGGCGACAGAAGTACAGCGTGGCGTGGCGGTCGGGCGGGAAAGGGTGTGGGTCTCGAGAGGCCGTGGGTGGTGGACCTCGCGCCGCCTCAGTTCCGCATGGGCGCCCCTCAGTTCCGCATCCGCGCCGTCGTGCTCCATCGGAAGCGTGTGGTCCGAGGCCTGCCGCACGCCGCCGCGCGCGCCCAAGCCGGCGGGGCACGCGCCCCAGATGTACGCGAAGGGCGCGAGCCCAGACTCGGGCGGCGGGTCGAGCGAGTGCCTGCCTCGCAGCGTGGTGTGTGGTGGAGCACGCGCAGGCCGGCCGCGGCGGCCGCGTCGTGCGCGCCGCTCGCCGCGCGGTGCGACACGGCGAGGTTGTCGAGGAGGAGCAGGTCGTGCTGGCGGTAGATGTGGAGCGCGCGGTGCGGCGCCTGCTCTCCGTCGCGAGGAGGCGTGAGGAGGCGCGCGCTCGTCCAGCGAGGGCAGTTGCGGTGCGGGCGCTGCCGACGAGAGCAGCGCCTCCAGCTGCCCCGCGAGCCGGCGCACCGCCCCGCGGCCCAGCAGCCGGTGTCCGAGCGCGGCGCTCGGCGCGACGGCCGGGTCCATCGCCTCGAGGGGCGGCGCCGGGAGCGCTGGGGCGGACGGCCAGCGCGCGACCGCGCCTACGCTCGCCCCCCCCAAAGGGTTTCCTCCTCTCTCCGGGCGGCTGGCCGGCGGCCCCGTCTCTCTGGGGCGGCGGCCCGTCTGGCCGAGGTGGACGAAGAGCGTCCTGCGGCCTGTGCGAGGGTGGAGGTGGACGAGCGGGTGGACGGCGCCGGAGTAGGCGTTGACAGTCGCCAGCCGGCTCCACGCCTACCGAAGGACGTGACCGGGCTCGACAGAGAGCTCGTGGCGCGCGGTACCTCTCCCGCGAGCCCACCGCCTCCCGCTGCGCCGCGGGCAGGGCGTAAAAGGCGGCGAGGTGGGACATCTCGGTCCCGCCGCCGACGCGCGGGGCACGGCCTGCGCGTGGAAGAGCACGTGCGAGAAGACCCGCCGCTCGAAGCTTCCGTCGGCGTGCCACTGCGGCCCGACTCGCATGACTCCGTGCTCCTCCCGGTTTGACAGGAGGGAAAAAAGGGCGCGGCGGCGGCGTGGCAGGTGTGCTCGGCGGCAAGCCCGCCAAAGTACTCGCTCACCGCACGCAGCGCCGTGCCTGGCGGAGACTGGTTCCGAAAGACCAGGTAGCCTGCTCCGCTCGGCGGCGTCGGCGAGGCAGGCGAGGACTCGCGCCGTCGGCCGGTGGCCAGCGAGGTTTGGCAGCCCGTGCACGACGGCGCCAAAGGGCTGGAGCCGCTCCAGGCGGAAGTCGGCCGCAGTCGGCGGGCAGAGCGGATGGGTTTAGGGCTCCGCCCGGGTACATCCCTGCGCGCCGGAATCAGAGTCGTGGACATGAGAGACCGGCGACGTGGGACGCCCGCCCGGCGGCGAGAGGCGGAGGAGGGCGCCGGGCGGGCGGAGGGGGAGGGCGAGGGGCGGCGGCCGACCAACGGGCATGGATTGATCGAAACTCCTCGGGGCGAGCGCGCCGCTGCAGGGCTTTGCCCCTCACCCGCTTCAGGAAAGGAAGCAAAATGGGAGAGGCGTTTGCAAAGAGCCCGTCAACCAACCACTCTCAAACAGCCATGGCACGCACCAAGCAGACAGCGCGCAAGTCGACCGGCGGCAAGGCGCCCCGCAAGCAGCTCGCCACCAAGGCGGCGCGCAAGTCGGCCCCCGCCACCGGCGGCGTCAAGAAGCCGCACCGCTACCGCCCGGGCACCGTCGCGCTCCGCGAGATCCGCCGCTACCAGAAGTCGACGGAGCTCCTGATCCGCAAGCTGCCCTTCCAGCGCCTGGTGCGCGAGATCGCGCAGGACTTCAAGACCGACCTGCGCTTCCAGTCGTCGGCCGTCGTCGCGCTCCAGGAGGCGTCCGAGGCCTACCTCGTCGGCCTCTTCGAGGACACCAACCTGTGCGCCATCCACGCCAAGCGCGTCACCATCATGCCCAAGGACATCCAGCTGGCCCGCCGCATCCGCGGAGAGCGCGCGTAAACAAGCTTCACCCAACCCCCGGTGTTTCTAAACACCACCCTTCTCCACCCTGTTGCTCTCGTGTCTTCTTCTCTACCTACCCTTTTATCTTGGAGTTATCGTTCTTTTTGTCGTTCTCTCTCTCTCTCTCTCTCTCTCTCTCTCTCTCTCTCTCTCTCTCTCTCTCTCTCTCTCTCTCTTGCAGGGCAGGGCAGGGGCAGGGTCAGGGCAGGCGGGCCGGTCAGGTTCTTGCAGTAGGTCGGTCGGGGTCCCGGGGGTCGATTTTTGGAAGTGAATAGCACGGCATAGAAACTGCAAAACAAGGTGCGTTAGCTCGAAAGAAACACATAGGCACCCACATGGGTTGCCATCCCTCAACACAAGTGGCCCACGGTTCACATTCACACACCCGGCCGCACCGCTCACGCACGCAAATGGCTCTCGCACCACCTCAACACACGCGCACGGGGGCGGAGGACGCGCGCTAGTCACTCCTCCTCGCCCTCCTCGCCCTCCTCCGCCTCCTCCGCCTCCAGCTCAGACGCCGCATCGAGCTCCGCCTCGTACGCGTCGATCAAGTCGTCGTGTATCTGTGACTCTGGCTCCCACGTCGCCACGTCGGGCGGGTACCCCTTCCAGAGGATCAAGTAGTACGTCATCTCGACCCGCTTCTTGCCCTGTGAGGCGAGAAGAGAGGTGGTCGGGCACGTGAGCGATGGAGTGGCAATAAGCAAGGGCAGGTGCGAGTGTGAGGGCGCAAGCACCTTGCCGACCGTCTCCACCTTGCTGTCGAGAATGCGCTCGATGTCAAACTTCTCACTCGCCTCCCACTGCCAGCCGTTGAGCTCACGCAGATCGACCTTCTTCCTCTTCTTCTTCTTCCCGCCGCCGCCGCCGCCGCCGCCGCCGCCGCCCTCTTCGCCCGCCACCCGCCGCTGCCGCACCTTCCGCACCACGCCGTCGCCGTCGCACCCCGAGTCGCCGTCCTCGAGGTCGTTCGCCTCGACGCCATGCGCGGCGAAGAGGAGGTTCTGCAGCTGCGTGCAATAGTCCGCGCGGTTCGCCTGCGTGACAGTGAAGCCCGTCTTCCCCGCCAGCTTGAAGGCCTTGAGCTGGTCCTACAACAAACGAGAGCCGTGAGTAGTGGGGCACTAGTGTACCGCTCAGCAGCGTCCGAGAAGCGCCTGCAAGCCGGCGATCGCCAGCTTCTTCAGCTCTGAGTAGCGCCGCACGAGCGGCAGCTGCGCGATGCGCGCGTTCTCGGCCGCCTTGGCCGCCTTGCGCGCCTTCTTGCTGCCCAGCTTCTCGTCGCGCTCGGCGCGCTTTGCGCGGCCCGCCGCGACCAGCTGCGCCTTGAGCGTAACGCGTCTCGCCCGCCCCGCCGCCTTTCGGCACGCCGCAAGCATGGTCTCGGCGACCTTGAGCCCGCCGCGCTCATCGATCTCGCCCGTCAGCCAGCCGGCCTGGTTGTTATAGCGCCCGAGCGAGTCGCCGGCGCGCGACTCATTGCGCTGCCGCTTGTGCCGGTCGTCGCTGACGCGGCCGACGGCGTGCAGCCGCTCAACCGGCGTGCTCGTCGCCTGCAGCGCGTCGTACTTTGCGCGCAGCGCCGGGGTGATGTTCGCCGAGCACAGCTTGCCGGTCTTGGTGATCGAGCCGTTCGTGGCGACGAGGCCCGCCGGCATCCACTCCGCAGCGTGGTTGCAGACCGCCCGGGACATCGCGCCGAATGCCGCCGTCAGCAAGCGCGTCACCATCGGGTCGTCGGCCGCTGCGGCGCGAATGCGCACCATATCGAGGCGATGGCGCTCGGCGCGGCGCGCCTGCGTTGGAGTTGGCGCGGTAGCGGCGGTGGCGGCCGCCGAAACGTCGCCGAGCTGCAGCTTGAGCGAGCCGTCGACGATGCCCGCGGGCGACGCGGCGGCCGCCTCAAAAAACGCGTGCGCCGCCGGCCACACGCGCGGGAGCACGTCGAGGACGTGCTTGTCCGCGGTCGGCTTGACCGCGCGGATCAGCGGCCAAAACACCGCGTCGCAGATCAGCGCCATGGCGCGCACCCCCGCCATGCAGGGCGGCGAGCGCGCGCCGGTGAGGATAGACTTGCGCAGCTTGCCGCCGCCGGCAGCCTTGAGCATCTCATCCTCGTCGAGGTAGGTCAGCATGGAGATGTCGTGCTCAGTGAGCAGCCGCTCCGTCGGCGCCGCGTCGAGGTAGAAGACGTACGCGCGCGAGCCGCAGATCGCGAGCACGTCCTCCACGTGCCCCACGAGATGCTCGAGCTGCTCCTCGAGGTCTGCCAGCCGCGCCTCCATCCACTCCTGCAACTTGCGGCCGATGGCGTAGCCCTTGGTCGAGCAGAGCGCGACGTACTTGCTCACCTACGCGTGCGGCGCGGGGGGGTGCGGGATTGGCGCGCGAGTGGGAGTGATCTGCGGTGCGGGGTCGGGGCTGACGGTGCCTGGTAGATGAGCGCGCAGACAGGCGAGCTGAACCAGCCGACGCAGGTCCGCATCGCCTTGATCTTGTCGGCGTGCGCCGCGGCCTGCTCGTCGGTGAAGTTCATCAGCTCGCGCAGGATGGCGTCCATCGCCTTGCGCCCCTCCTCGAGGATGTTGACGAGCGCGTGCTCCGCACAGGTCGGGTCGTCGTCGCCCTCGCCCAGCCCGAGGACCAGCCGCGCAGCGAGCCGCGCCGTAGACGCCCGGTCGTTGCACGCGCACGTGGGGAGGAAGCGGCGCAGCAGCTCCGCCGCGCGCGCATCCGCGAGGCCGGCCTCCTCCATGAGCTTGATGACCTCCTCGATCGACTCGTGGTACGCCGACGCCTGCGCCTCGGCGGTCTTGCTCGAGGCCGTCGACAAATCGAGGGCGCGCAGCTCGAGTTTGCCGTTGACGCGCCGCGAGAGGACGGTGCCGATGCGCTCCATCTGCTGCGCCTCGGCGCCGTCGGCGATGTAGCAGCACGAGGACTCATCCGAGTTCATGTACTCCAGCAGCCACTGGCCGATCTGGAGCTTGTTGAGCTCGTAGGAGACGCCCGCCAGCTCCTTGCAGTGCGTCGCCTGCGGCGTCTCTGGCAGCCGCTTGACGACGGAGGTGCGCTTGCCGTCCACGATCGGGCCGGGGACCTTGATCTCGCGGTACGGCAGCTTGACCCCCAAGAGCCGCGCGAAGATCGGGAACAGCTTCGGGATCTTCTGCCGCGCGATGCCGAGGTGCATCACCGAGATGCACGCGAGCTCCGTCTCGGCGTTGAAGTGGTTGCCCAGCTTGAAGCGCGCCTTGGTGGGCTCGGCGATGGCCTTGAACTTAGCGGCCTCGGCCTGCGCCGCCTCAAGCTCGGCCTGCAGCTTGGCGCACTGCGCCTCCACCGCCTCCAGCTTCTCTGCCGTCGCGTCTCCGCGCCACAAGCTCGCGCGGGCCGCCCGCTCCTCCGAGAGCAGCCGCTGCGACACCGCCAGGTTGCGCTCGACGAGGTTCACGTCGGAGAGCTTGCGCTGCGTCACCTTGCGCCGCGCACTGAGCTCGGTGATGCGCCGCGTGCTCGCCTGCAGCTGCTCGAGCAGCCCCGAGACGCGCATCGAGCGCAGCGCGTCGAGCTGGTCCTCTAGCTGCGCGAAGAGGCCGTGCAGCTGCGCCGCCTCCTCACACGCGTCGTCCCGCTGCGCCTCGGCGACCTTGGCGCGCCGCTCGGCCTCTGAGGCGATGGAGCCAAAGTGCGCCGCGGCCTCCTTCTCCTGGCTGCGGCACCGCAGCTCCGCCGCAGTCTCGGCCTCGCGCGCCGCCGCCTTAAGCTGCCGCACCTCCGTGCAGAGCCGCCCAGTCTCCTGCCGCTCCGCCTGCAGCGCTGCGTCGAGCTTCGCGTACGCCGCGGCGGAGCGCCGCCGCTCGTCGGCGAGCGCGGCGTCGACGGCGGCCTGCTGGCGGCGCGCCGCCAGCTCGAGCTCGACACGCCGCTCGTCGGCGAGCGCCTCGCTCAGCTGCCGCCGCCGCCGCTCATAGTTGAGGAGCAGCGACACCTGCCGGAGCTGCGACGTGCCGCGCCCACGCGGCGGAGGCGCGCCGCGCACCTCGGCGGCGATCAAGCCGAGGACGTCGCGGCAGCCCTCCAAGAGGTGGACGGCGCTGTCGGCGCCGAGGCGCGGGTGCAAACCCTCGGCAAACGCGCGCAGCTGCGCCGTCACGTCGAGCTCGGCATCGAGCGAGGACGCGCCGCCGCCGCCGTCGCCGCCGCCGCCGCCCGTGTCGGCCGCGTCCGAAAGGGTCTGGAGAGGAACGTGCGCCTGCCGCACGAGTTGGTCGAGTTCGCGGTCGGCCTCCGCCGGGTCCTTCCGGCGAGAAACGGCCGTCGAGCGCCGCTTAAGCGCGCGCTCCACGTCCGCCTTGTACGCGGTCATCCGGCGCTTGTACTTCACGAAGTTCGCCTTGGTCTCCGGCGTGGCCAGCGCCGGGAGCGCCCGCGTCGGCGCGAGCGACTCGTGCCCGGCCATCGCCTCGACCCACCTGGTAAAGATGAGA